TGTTCATGAAACAAACCACATGACCTCCTCTTCTCCCCCGTGTATCATATGATATTTCTTGTTTCATGGCAAATGACTGTTATGAAACCGAATACTGTCTGATCATCACTGAATTCTGCAGACACGGACAGCTGATCCAGTGTCAATATGCAGGTTTGGTAACCGTCCCAATCCTTGTGACTGAGCATATTCTTGCAGCGTGCTTGGCTTGAATATTTTATTTTTTAAGGAGCTCCTCCTACTAAAGGGCTAGGGATGCTTGTGCAACATGGTTAAAAACAGCAAACGTGCTTTTAAAAAAGCCTAGTTGGCATTTGAAATAAAACCAACCAATTGAGGGGGACCACTGCTAGAAATGGAGAGAAGAAGGAAGTGGCAAGGGAAGGAAATAAATATGGGGCAAACAGAGCACATCTTAAAATGGGACCGGACGAGGAGCTTTTCTCAATATGCGGGAGAGGTGGGTTGATATGGGTATGAAAGGGGCACTCTAAGGTCCAGCTCAAAGGCACAGCTGCTTGTCTCAGCCATTCAGATGTGCTCATGACCTTAAGATCTAGGTGCCAAATGCTACAAGGCAGTCGCCTTCCAATCTAAGATATTGTAATGGGATTTCTAAACCGCAGGCGGGGTGCGAATGTAGATATGAGTCAAGAAAAATCTCACAAAGGAAGTCTAATGTAGTTGTATGGTTACGGGTTTTGAAATCCAGCAGATGCCAGCTAGTCTGCCCTTTGATAGTCGGACATGTGACGGGCACAGGACGGGGGTGATATGGACGCAGTGAGCTCACGTTTATGCAGATGTGTTGACTGCCTAAATAATCTACCATGTGTTACACTTGTGCTGACATGGGTCATCCTGACATAAGCTTCCAGGGTCCCAATTGTGACTGAGCTTCTCATCCCCACTTTGTCCCTGGAGTTTCAAAATATCCTACTGGAATATGCTCCCTTTTAATGGGAAAGGCCATAATACAGTACAGTCCACTGAACTCTGTACTGTGGGGCACAGCTACCCACCCTGTTCTTCAATCAAGAGTCTACAGGTCCCAGCTTAAAATCCTGTCTCATTCTGAATAGTCTAGCTGACTGCCCAAGGTGGACTGTTACATGCTGGGAGCTGTAGTTTGTGTGCTGCCCAGCCCTATCAAAGATGAGGTTGGGTGCAGTCCGTTCTCATCTATGCAAATTAAATGCAGCCCTTGAGCTCACAGCAAGTTGCCTATGTGGCCCTAAGTTGGGCAAATGGGGCTAAACTTTCCCTCACCTTGGCTGGCGAGAACACAGATGGATCCCATCACAGCCAAAGCTAGTGGTGCTTTTATGACCTTCAGGATGGCAATTCGTTGTTTCTTATCCCAGAGCATTGTGCCTGAATGCATTTGCCTGGCCAACAGACACAGTCCTCCTGTCTGCAAGTCAGAATGCTGGTGCTCTGCATCACCTGACGGAAACTTTCATTTCTTTCAGAGGTGTTCCCATAACAATGTTAACTTTCTAACATAAGTTTGGGACCATATCTGTGAACAAGTTTTAGATTCTCTCTCTTATACTTATCATCTACTACTACCTGCTCCAGCACAACTTGCAAAATCACACCTCTTAAAATACAGTATCTTGGTAGCTCAGCTGGCTTGGGGTTGACTCATGTGTGAAGGTGATGGGTATTCTGACCTACATTGAAACAATCATTTTGTGACAGCCATTAAACGCACGCATGACATGCAAAAAATGCTTTATTGGAAATGTTCACTGGGCTAGTTTTTCTCTGACGTGCAATGGAAAATCTGTTAAAGCACCCGAACAAAAAAAGCAACACTTCTGAATCTGTCAGCAAATAACCATTACCAACATGCAAAATATTTATTTCATGCAGTTTATAGAGAAAAAACTTTTTCTTCACCACTCCTTCGTGTTGAGGAGGCTTTTTCTGAAGTAGAAGGTTCTTTATACATGCAATCAACTAACACAAAACACCAGCGTGAGAGGCAGAAACTCTTGTTTCTCAAACAAATTTTGTAGGCAACAGTCACCCTTTCTAAAACTGATACCTTTATTGCTTTTAAAATGTCATTAGTAGTTTTCTAGGTCTGATTCTTGCTTATTTGTATTAAAGTAGCATGTAGAACCCCCAACAAAGATCAAAGCTCTGCTGTGCTAGACACCTAAAGACACCTAGTAAGAGACAGTGCCTGCTCAAGAGTTTACAGTCCAAATAATCAAGACAAAGGTATAGTATTCTTTGTATCTTGGACAAGTCCAAAAATCATTGTGAGGCAGGTCTTGATTATCATTTTACCTGGACAGATCCCATCAAGCAGACCAATCTGATTGGTTAGTCCAAAATAACCAATCTAAAATTAATATTACCTACATAAATACCTCTTCATTTAAACACACAGTCTAGGTACATGTCCAATGGAGAGCAGGGAAGGGGTAGCTTTAAAGTCTTTAACTTAACATTTAATACATGGCTTTTGGTCAGTGAATCATTCTGGAAATATCATTTGGGTTCATGTGTCAATTAATGCTGTTCTTATCAAAAATAGCAAATTCAGAAATAATATCAAAATATGTATAAATCTCGCCATTCCAAAGGATCCCAAAACAATTCACATGCTGACCCTGGGCTCATCACAGTGCCTCTGGAACAATGTACCTCTCAATGTCACTAGATACTAGAAGTGGGATAGTCATTTGTATCACCATCACTGATCGTCATCTGTCCACCATCACTTATAGACTTTCTCATCATTACTGCTTTCCATGTTTCTCCCTGTTATTGAGTACCTAGGATCTTTCTTTTAATATTTTCCCCCAAGAGATATTAGCATGCTTTTTTCCAGGCTGAATGTCAATTTTTTCCCTATTTCTAATCTCTTTAGAGGCCTGTTGATTAATCCTGTCTTACTTGTACTTAACACCTTCTATATCATGAACATGTTGAGCTTTTTGCTAATGATCTGGAAAGGGAATACATCTTAAATAGAATGGAAGCTAAGACCAGTCCCTGTGGTTACCTGATTTCTCCATTTGCAGCCCCAAGTTTTAAAGTTGGCTGTTCATCTTTCCCTTTGTTTATGTCCAGTTACTCAGCCTAAGATATTGTGTTGATGGTTCTGCAACTCTCCACTTCCTGTCTCCATCCCTAGTCCTCCCTTCATGTTTTAGATGAGTTAAACCCTATCCCCAGCAAAGATACTGATACTAATTAGCTGTTCAATATTATATTCAGCCTCTTGGCACTTAACACCAAATCTGAACGGGCACAGGTAAAGAAGGGAAACAATACTTTCAAAGCAAAGCCTGTCTAACAGAGGTGTTTAATGCCAGTATATACTGTAATATACTATACATATGCTCAAGGACAGCATTTTAAAAAAGAAAACCACAGCTCAGTCCTTGACTAGCGTCTCTCTAGATGGCTTTTGAAAAAATTTTTATCTGTAGGTTAAAAACATTCCTATGTGTTACTGAGGTTAATTGTCTGAGGCAATTGTTTTAACTGGTTTTCAGAATGTAGTTCACAATTTCTCCCAGAGGTTTGCTTCTGTGTGGGATGGTCTGTATTGTCCTGTATTCCTGGTAGATTAATTCAGTGTAATGAAGTCAATATTATCTTAGTTTGTTATTTGTCCCCTTCTAGCAATTATTTGACAGACCTATTGATTATAGTTGAGTATAAAATCTGCCTAGTAAACTAAGATTTTGTACAGGTTTTTTGTTGTTTTATCCATTTTTAAAATTACTTTGTTCTGTTTTTTTCTTGGCCAACTAATTCCCTCCAACTAGAGGTAATTAAGGCCTTCCTGGTTTGGTAGAGACTGCTCCAAATTTCATGGGGTCTCATGTAGGTATCAGCCATGAGGTTTGAATAGTAGCACTCCCACTCTTCCACGGTAATCAAAGAGGTAACATTAGTCTTTCAAAGTAAGTCCCTCTGCTACTGTTCTAACCAGAACTGCCAGGGAGTAATCAAAGACAGACATTCCAAGGATTGCCTTGTGTAGTCTGTTTCTCAGAGCAGCATGCAAGATATATTGCCATTCCCCTTTGTAATTTGTCTTTTCAATAAATCAGACTTCGTCCCTATTCATCATGGGAAGCTGTTGGATCATGAGCCACTACAGAATGCTAACTAATTTCATAATACTCTGCATAAGGTGACCCACTTACAAGTTCATCCTCCAGTCGTGTGTAAGCTCTGATCCTGATTTATGTAACGGCATATTGGTTTCATAAGAAATTGTCTGATTGCTTACTGTGTTGGCTCCTTGTGACCTGTATATGATTTGCATTCTCCTCAGTCTCAGGGAAAAAATTGTCTTTCTACGTGTATGGACAGAAAAACAAATTAACAACAAATATTAAAAACTGGTTAATACTTTGAGCTTTTTTGTTGCTTCTAAAGCTATGTTAGAGAGAGAATTAAGATTTTATATATATATTTTTTTAAATAGCTCTGCAGCAGACAGATCAAAGCACAGAAACTCCAAATTGGGGGGGAAAAAAATCTTTGCCCTGTTTGTACATTTTAGGGTTCTGAGATTAGTGTTGAATGTTAAACCTATGAGCCACGATCATTTTGACTCAACAGGGAGTGCAGGAAGGACAGTGTTATCTGTATATTTCATTGCTAATGTTTGGCTTCGATGAGCTGAGACCCAAATATGTATAAAGATATTCCATTGTGCTTACCTGGAAGGTACAAGGAGAAGTGTACCATATAAAAGTACCGGGGATAACATGATCAATTGCACTACCTTCTTTAAAAGTATATTTGGAAATATTAATAACAAAGCTAATGTAACTGAGACACATTTTTGGACTCCTTAACTAGAAGATCTAGTCTTCGTTCCTCTAGAGTTCTGTCTGTGCTGAAAGCTAATTAAATTTTTAGTCCTTCAATCCATAGTTCACTGGATATAAGGGCAGGTGAAATAATTTCTTGACTCAAGCCTCTGTATAAAATATATACTTGTTTCATTTCTTTGGTAGCATTCGTTCTTCTGCCGACTAACAGAAGATAAGAAATCTGAAAAGTTCTTTAAGGTTTTCTATGACCGCATGAAGGTGGCACAACAAGAAATCAAGGCTACAGTCACAGTAAACACCAGTGACTTGGGAAATAAAAAGAAAGATGAGGACTCAGACAGAGATGCACCAGTTAGGAAAAGAGGTAAATCTCCGATTCTTTGCTTTGAAAAATGACATGGGAGCAAGGCACTGTACTTATTGAACTCCTTGTGATTGATGCAGTAATGCTGTGATCCACAGAGCAAAGTTAAGAGATCAGTGATATCCTGCCTTGGGATCTCAAGAGCAGCATTCTCTCTCCATCCATTTGTGAGATTGTACTATTGAAATGATTAAATGTATTTGAGATGGGACTCTTCCAACTTGTCTAGCCTGAGATGCTGCCTAAATCTGATCGATAGTAATGGCCCTGGACTGTAGGTTATGGTCAGTGCCTTTCTAAAAATAACCCAGGACTGGAGAAATAGCTTCTTACACAACAGGTCTTCTTCTAAAACTCCTAATGGTGTTATGTGCCTGTGATCTGTTCCCTAACAGGGTAATATAAGGATTAAAAACTTTACTGTGATTTGTTGAAAAGGGTAACATGCTATCATCCTAAACCCAGTCTCTTTCATTGTACTAAATATGCGTGTTGAAAAGGTTATGAAGGTGATGAGCTGGTCTGTGTGTAGAACTTTAATAGGAAATATGTGAATAGATTTTTTTTCCCCCTAATCCTTTTGTTCGGATTACCAGGTGGAAGGTCTTTCATATGTTCCATTCTCATGTATTCTAGTGAAAGAGCCCACAACACAAATTACAGAGGAAGTCCGGGATCAGTTGCTAGAGGCCTCTGCTGCTACAAGAAAGGCTTATAATACATACAGGAGGGAAGCTGATCCTGATGACCATTATTCAGCTGCAGATGGACCACAGTCTGCACCAGACAAGAACAAAGATGACTTGGAGATGAGTGCTGTGATTACAATAATGCAGCCCATTCTCCGTTTCTTACAGCTACTCTGTGAAAACCACAACCGGGATCTACAGGTACCATAGGCAGATATGCATGTAGAGTTAAGTCATTGCCATCACATCAACCTCTCTAATCTGTGCCACTTTCCCAGTACAGCCTCAGTTGACCTAAGAGAGCCATGCATGCCCTCATCTCTTTCAAATCCCAACGAACAGGATGTTTTGTGGATTGCTTGACAAAAACTGTGCTGAAATGAAGTCTGTCTATGGCCGCCACATATGGCGTGAAGGCACTTTCTCTTCTCTCCCTGGCTCTTTTCTGTCCCCAACCCCTCTTTATTCATCCTAGCTCAGCAGGAATAATTCTCAACCCAATACTCTGAAAATAGCTGAGCTTGGCTTTTTTACTGTTAATGCTTTCTCCAGGTCAGGTCCCATCTTGATTAAGAGGTCTGTATTTACAGACAAGATCTCTGACATCCTGGTATACATTTATGAGACGTTTGGAGGCAATTCCATACAGACACAGCTTAGCCAATCCACATTGCAACTACCCATCTCTATATAGATATCCGTTCCAAAACTGGTGTATATGATGCTTCATAAAATGTGTAATAAAATCAATGAAGTCCAGGCATCCAGTTGTAGAACTAGGTAAGCCTTCAATGGTTAGTTCTAGGAGAGGAGTGATGAGGGGTGAGGTGGAAAAAACAAGATCCGTTCCTATTGAATTCCCAAAGGAACACAGAAATCCCCTCTTCTAATATTTAAAGGTGCTCATCTTCTACATGGCTTGCAGCATTCCCTGCTGGCCTCAGTAGTTGTGGGAGCTAATTATTTTTGCTTTTGGCTTCCTGCCATGGACCAAGTATCTAGTGGGCTCATTCTGTGTTAAATGCTCATGAGCAGGGATTCTCAAACTGGGGGTCGGGACCCCTCAGGGGGTCATGAGGTTATCACATGGGGGGTCGCAAGCTGTCAGCCTCCACCCCAAACCCCGCTCTGCCTCCAGCATTTATAATGGTGTTAAATATATAAAAAAGTGTTTTTAATTTATAACGGGGGTCACACTCAGAGGCTTGCTATGTGAAAGGGGTCACCAGTACAAAAGTTTGAGAACCACTCATGAGTAACTTTTTAAGGTGGTTTGGATCCATGTCTCTGAAGACCAGATCTTTGCTGTCCATATCTTTAGGTAGCCTAACAGGAAGAATATTTTTTTTAATTTTTTTTTTTTTTTGTCCTTGGTTTTCTAAATGTTCTGCAAATGATTCTGGGACTCTTTCACGGTCTTTTCTAGCTGCATAGTCCTGTGGACTTGAGCCCAGTTTCATCCTTATTGTCTGACAGTTACTGTTAACATCTTTGCTAACCCAAGAGTTGTGTCCCCCACTTCTTGTATTCTGCCACCTATTTTAGCTCCTAGGTTAAAGACCTTGGCCTATAGATTGACTGAGATTTCTTGACCAGGCAATATGCCACTATGGCCATAGGAGTTTAGTCTTCCATAAGTTTGCATTCAACCTGTATAATCATATTTTGTTTTCTCTTTTGTTCCTATTACTCTTGCTGTCTCTGGGCTAAAAATCCTGTAGAGACATTCTAATGCTATTAATAGTCCAGCTTCTACAAAATGGAAGGTTTAAATCCCTTTCCACTGAGAGATTTTCCTGCCAGTGGAAGTATTTGTTTCAGAGCTTTTTTTTTGGAAGCTCTGATCTCTGTAGCCTCCAACCTTTTTTCACTGCCTGGAAAACTAATCAAAAGTCAAGATACTAAGTGAGCAATCAGGTGAAGTACACTGAATCATTGTCACTTTTAATCCTCATTCATCTACAGTGCTTGCCTTTTTATCGTAGCCTTCTGTTGAATCTGGCAACATCTCAGTCTTTGCCTTAAAAAGAAAAAAGTCATTGGACAATCACTAGAAGCAGTCAGTTAGCAACGGTGCTCTGCAAACTTGTAGGCAAGAGACCTTGCCTGTTCCAAAGTCCAATACATTCTGTTCCTCTAATACCTTTTTTTTGGGGGGGGGGCGGCGGAGGAGAGGAAGGGCGGGGTGTGTGGAGATTGGCCTTTGAAGTCAAGTGTTGTATAACTCATTAGAAGCAGGCTAGATGGGAAGTGTCATGCTGAAACTTCTAGGAAAAAACAGTGGGGTTGTCAGTTCCTTCTTACAGAACGCCACTGGGAATGTACTGACAAATAGTATTGAGTCACTGGGAAATTATTTTTCAGTAATTGGTCCTCTTCAATCAAGTATTTCCAAGGGGGAAGCCTTGCAATACATAAAAGATCAAGCATATTTAACCCATGCTGTTAAATGTGACATGTTATTGCAAGAACTGTTCCTAATCAACAGTTTCAAGCTATAATTATATTGGAAGAAGTGGAACTGAGAAAATTATATTTGAGGAGTTGCAGTCAGGTGTCTCTTTGACACTTGCATATGGTGATATGAAACCCAGAACTAGAGAATTGCTTTCTCTCCACTCTAGTGGAAGGTCTTTTGTGTGGAGAGAGATTCTTCTCTGATTGTTGGGGGGAAATATGAATATGAATGCCAGTTTTCTTAGATCTGTATGGTCCATAGAATCAAGTGTATCCCACATTCTGCATTCTCTTCTAGCACATAACACACGTTACTCTGTTGCCAGCAGGCCATGAGAGAGAAAGTGAGCGAGAGCAGTGCATTCAAAGAAAGTGAAAGAAGTTTTACAACAGTTGTACAAGAAATAAAGCTTTCTTTAAATCCTAAAACATATTTTTTTTTCCTGAGGCATTTCTGTTATGCAACCATACTAAAAATTAGCATTGACATCACAAAGTGTAAACTTAAATCCAGTGAATCTAGTCAAATATTACACTCTAAAGTTCATTTTCTATGTTGTTGTTTTTCTTCTTTGACACTTAACTACAGAACTTCCTACGCTGTCAAAACAACAAAACTAACTATAACTTGGTGTGTGAGACACTGCAGTTTCTGGACTGTATCTGTGGAAGCACGACTGGAGGACTTGGGCTTCTTGGTCTGTATATAAATGAGAAAAACGTAGCACTGATCAACCAGACACTGGAAAGTTTGACCGAGTACTGTCAGGGACCGTGCCACGAAAACCAGGTAATGTGGCCACAGCCATAGAAAGAATGACCCATCCTCCACACGCATGTGATGTTTGTGCTGCTGCGTTTAGGCCCCCAAAATCCATTACATCAGCTATAAATTCCATTGTGATGCCATTTATATTGCTCACCTGACCATGGTGATATTTAACTGTATGATCTTATCAAGATTTATTTCTCTATGTACAGGGCTCACTGTTTTCTCCTCCTCCCTAGGAATAAAATAAAAATAAAACTCAGTTAGCATCCTTGTAGTAGATTAGGATTTGTGTTGCCTTATATAGGATATTTAGGCAAACTGGGCAACCTGAATCCTTTTCTAGCCAAGCTGCTGGTGTAGCAAACGCCTATCACAGATTGTGGGGAAAGAAAGCCGGCGCCCTCCAGCACAAGTGGGGGAAATGCTTATGCTTTGGTGCTGAAAGTCCTGGGTTTATCCCCACTGATGAGCAGTAGAGTTGTTGGGGAAATAGTAACCATTTGAGGATTTGAACTTCTGTGGACTTCAGATGTTTTCTGTGACAGGAGATGTGTGTGACAAGCTGCCTAAATGTGCTATGTCCCCCTCTATTGCCTGAAGATAAGTGCTTGCTACTACTACTGCTTCTAATGGCTTATGTGTGTCCTAGGTTCTGCCTCACTGACACATGGGCTCATTATACTCACATTATATATACACGGGTAATAGATGAGGTAAAGTTCTAGACAAGCATTTGGCAGGGTGATAATGGAAGCCCTCTCTAAACTCTCTGAAACTGTGTTGAAAGAATGTTTAAACATGGTACTGACTAATACCAGTATCTCATGGACAGGGAACAATGGTAAATCGGGAATATGTGATAACTGTGGTATGGTGTAGGGGTTTTAAATGGTCTCATTGTATATGAGTGGTGAAGCCATAAGTGAGTTATCCCAGTCATCCCATCACAGTTTTTAAAAAAAAAATGTTCGTGACCCAGGACCGAACCTTGCTCATCCGATGCCTCTGAGTTAAGATAATTTTGGGTGAAGGAGGAGGAGGAAAGATTTCTCTGGTAGCTTGATTTTGTTTGCTTAAATAGCAGGTGTTTGAAGCTACTCAGGGACAGAAATAATAAAATGCATTCCGGGGCACACATTAGTGAGCGGCGGATAGGTGACTTAGTCAAAAGTGAATGATAAATATATCTCATAGCTCTGCTGCTCCAGTTTACCACCTGGATCTCAATATCCTTATATATGGTGCAACTGTTTTTTAAAACCAAGCTACAAAGCAGCCCCGTCCCTCACCCTGATCTAAACATGGTTCTTGTTAACAGTTTCAGTGAACAGGATAAGGGGTAAAAGTCTGGATTTATCCATGCTAAATGGATAGCTGGTGTAGGTGGACGCTGACTGAGTTAGCCAGGGAAGGCAAAATATTTCAAACCCCTCCAACTCTCTAGTATGCACTAACAAATAGTGCTTGTTAAATACACATTACCAACAAAACTTACGGTGCTGGGTGTCATATTATACCAGACCAGTTGTCCAGCTATGGATTCAATCGGCTTAGAAAACAAGATCTGTATATACAAATGTGGATGTCTGCTTCCTTTTCCAACTTAAATCTTATTGAAGCCTCTTGTATGCACAGTGCAGAATGATCCATCAGGATGTATATGCCATCTCTAACTGTATAGGAAAGAGATATGGCCTTTTAAATATTTTCCTTCAAGGAAACCTGTACACTGTATGCTATTAAAATAATACACCATACGATGATGGATAATTGCAGCTATGCTGAGACCATAGCAGGGGGTAGTTTAATGAATATGCTTTTGTTCAGTACTACCGGATACTACTTATTCTCTTTTCATTAACATATGTAAAGGGCCATTAAAAATAGAAGCTGAATTGACCATGATTAAGTGGAAGGCTGTCACTTTAATAATATACTATATCATTTTTGTGCACTTAAATGTAATTCACAGTAAAGCTAAACAAAACATACTGAGGGATAATTCAACAATAAAACAAAATTGCAGCTATGGGAAAGCATTCATGGAGTTGTACATGTAAGTTAATCATAATAGGAAAGTATATCTCTGCAGAACAGACTGCATATCAGGTGGAATAATTATCTTTGTACATATTTGCAACTGGAAATAGACACACAAACAGATTCAAACTTGTGAATCCAGCAAGCAGGTTGCCAAGTTTAAAAATCTTTGAGTAAGAGGCACAAAATTTTAAGAGCAAGCCTAGAAATTATGGAAACATATATTAGATGTTTGAAAAGAACTTGGCATATGGGGGTTAAAAAAAAAAATAAGCCTCCCATACCTTTATTAAAACAGTGCATTCTCCCTTAGCAGTAAGCTCTGCGTTTATGCCAAAGTGTGCTTGCTGGCTGTTAGTTCATCAGGTGCTGTGCTGTGGGGCTTTTCTCAGCCCAGTCATTTTTGGTAGGTCATCACAGAGATGATTGTAGTCACATTTGAAGCTAGAGATTTTTAGCCTTTTATATTGAATCCATTTACTGAATTGAAAAATTCCTTTCATCCATCTGACCTGTCTGAGGGGAGATGAGAAAAAGGTGACTCTTCTCTTTGGTTAGGGATAGTTGGGTAAACCTGTGTTTAAAATTGTTGTTTAGCTAGGTTACTTTTTACTGTGGTTTACAATGATGATTTTCTCTGCACAGAACTGCATTGCTACACATGAATCCAACGGTATTGATATCATCACAGCATTAATTCTCAATGACATCAACCCTTTGGGGAAAAAGAGGATGGACCTTGTATTAGAACTGAAGGCAAGTGGATATTCTACAATGAGCTATACGTTGCCAATGGGATGAAGCAAGAGCCTATAGCTGAAGTCAGATGGGTTTTTTTTTAATATCTCACTGTGGTCATAACTGTTATAAAATTGAGTTGTGGGATTCTGCCTGACAACTGAATGAAAAAAATATAAAAGATGAGTTTTAAGAGACAGATGTTTGTTTAACCCTTGCAGTAATACCAGTGCAACGTCCAATATAAACACCCTAAATCTGAAAAATGTTTTCCCAGTTGAGAGAGCCTAAGCTAATTCCCATATTAGAAATACAATACTGTTGATAAATACCATACTAACTTTCTGTCAGACTGCCACAGGTATAAGGAAAATGCCATTCTCCCGATACATATTTAGGTTCCTAATGCTTTGTTCCTATTGATACAAGTTATATTGGTACTTACAGTCTCATGATCAAGAATTATTCAGTGTCATTCATAGGCAGTTCAGACTTTATGCTGAAATAATTAACAACTCATATTGGATCAAAGTGTGCTATGAAGTTACCTTAAAGCTGCTATAGATACACAGTAGCTCTACTTCAACAACACGTTTCTGCAATATTTCCTGTTTTACTTGTGGCCCCTCTTTTATAATGCTATTTCTAGTTCTTTTCTTTGTGGACTCATGGCATTATTATGGGTACCATGGGTTGTTTTCTTCTTCTAAATAAAAAAGACTTGAAATTTAGAATCAATTTACATTATTCTTTCAAATTAAATACCTTTATTACAATGCTGTTTTTTAATATCAACTGTGATAGATTTTAGTCTTATTGTTCATATTCAAGTAGTCTGATGCCTTGTGGTGTTTTCTTATTTCCTCCCTGTATCACTTGGCATGACCAGGTTTCAGAATGATTTTCAGTTAAAAAGCAGTAAAGTAGATCTAATCTTTAATCTGGTTGTCTTTTGTCTTAACCAACAGCATCGTGACTAAATGCGAGCCCAGTGCTCATGAGTAGTAAAATCTACTAATGCTACAGTCACTTTAAAAGAAAACAACTCTGCAGTTCTAAAAATATTAGGAAACTGAAGCCAAAAGCTTTACTGAGTTCATTTGACTTCTCTTCACAGCGACTACTGTAAATATTCTGTGTTGGGCAGGGTTTTAGCTGTATGGGTGCTGTTGACTTACTGGATGCTGGGCTCAAAGGACTCTATTTTAGAGTTCAGATGGCTTTTGCTGAGGTTTTTTGAAGTGACTGGCGTTTTCCTTCTTTCCTTCCACCAGAACAATGCCTCCAAATTACTGTTGGCAATCATGGAGAGCAGGCATGACAGCGAGAACGCGGAGAGAATACTTTACAATATGAGACCAAAAGAACTGGTAAGTTCCTTATGCCACTCCTAAGCATCCGACGTCCATAAAGTAGGTTGGCAGCATAGCAGGAACCCATTGTAGTGCCACGTGGTTGATTAAGATTACAGGGCAAACTTTAGATCTTGTACCATAGGTCAGTAACAAGTGGTCTGTGCCATAGGTCACTAGCAATTTGGAAGAGCTTTCCAGGATTTGATGGAAAGGATAGCTATTGGTTCACAGGCCCATTTTAGTTTGCCAATAGCAGAAGTGGTTAAGGAGGCAACACTGATTACTAGAGAGAGAGCAATAGCTTTGCCAGTGTATAATGAAAGGGAAGGACTATATCGGGGTAGGCAACCTATGGCACGTGTGCCAAAGGCGGCACGCAAGCTGATTTTCAGTGGCACTCACACTGCCCAGGTCCTGGCCACCGGTCCAGGGGCTCTGCATTTTAATTTAATTTTAAATGAAGCTTCATAAACATTTTAAAAACCTTATTTACTTTACATACAACAATAGTTTAGTTATATATTACAGACTTATAGAAAGAGACCTTCTAAAAACATTAAAATGTATTACGGGCACACTAAACCTTAAATTAGAGTGAATAAATGAAGACTCGGCACCCCCCTTCTGAAAGGTTGCCGACCCCTGGACTATATGAATCTTTTATTCCAGGAAATTTACTGCTGTAAACCATCTGACTGAGAGAATGTCAAAGAATTACAATTTTATGATGGTATAAAAGCTGCTCAGTAAACTCTAGCCATCTCCCAGGGCTGTTTATATATTAACAGACAAAAACAAGCCAGAAAATTCAAAGTACAGTTGAAACTTTTAGATCAGAGCATGGCACAACATACTGCAAGCACTGTATTATCCAGGAACAACGGGGTGAGTTGAGGATAAAGTTTCAGTCTTTACTTTGGTTTTCCTTCCATTGAGTCAAATGGATCTGATGTAGGAAAAAATTGACAGCAGATGCCAGCTGTAAAAATCTTGTATAGCTGGAATATATTACATGAAAATGGGGGGAGCTCTAAAATTCCTTTAGAGCAGTTAATTTACCCTTCAGAGATTGAGAGGGTCTAAGGATACGAAGCAGAGTTCATCAGTCTCCTGCTTCATGAGTCTTGGCTTCCTGCTTTATGCTTGATGGCCATACACTGAGTGCTCGGATGTATATTTGAACATAAGAATGGCCGTATTGAGTCAGACCAAAGGTCCGTCCAGCCCAGTATCCTGTCTACCAAGAGTGGCAAATGCCAGGTGCCCCAGAGGGAGTGAACCTAACAGGTAATGATCAAGTGATCTTTCTCCTGTCATCCATCTCCACCCTCTGACAAACAGAGGCTAGGGACACCATTCCTTACCCGTCCTGGCTAATAGCCATTAATGGACTTAACCTCCATGGATTTATCTAGTTCTCTTTTAAACTCTGTTATAGTCCTAGCCTTCACAACCTCCTCAGGCAAGGAGTTCCATAAGTTGACTGTGCACTGTGTGAAGAAGAACTTCCTTTTATTTGTTTTAAACCTGCGGTCCATTAAAGCTTCCATTGACTTCTGTGGGAGTTCTGAATGGAGAGCTATTGGCAGAATTTAACCTGAAAATCTGAGTTATTATTAAATCTCAGATGCCTGTGTCTTTCTCGCTTTTTCTTCCTAGGTGGAAGTGATAAAGAAGGCATATATGCAAGGTGAGGTAGAATTTGAGGATGGAGAGAATGGTGAAGATCTTGCAGCATCTCCTAGGAACGTGGGGCACAACATTTACATACTAGCTCATCAGGTATAACTGCATTTATAGCTATGGCAGTGCCTAATGTGTACAAGAGTGAAGATTAGTAAGTAATCTAGTTTTTCTCGAGATTTGCTTTAATTTCCCAACTGATGTCTTTGTAGTTAGGACAGAATTCTTCTTCAAGAGGTTCATGGTGGAACTCAACACAGTATCCTTCTCTCTTCTTTCTATATCCCCATAATTCCCAAATGGGAGTCAAACCTAATCTTTACCCTAACACATTCAAAAATGGAAATTCTGCGCATGTATAATAATGAGAGGAGCAGCTAAGGACTTTGTTCTCTTATAATGGGGAATTGCCAGATACTTTGTCCTTACTGATGACGTTCCCAATAGCACGTTTCAAGATCTTGAAGGCACTGGGATAATAGGTCTTACTTATTTATCATTTACATCCAGTGCTTTAGTTTTATGTCCCATATGTAATTCTCATCACTGATACAGTATTTAAATCAGGCAACAGAATTCCATCCCTTCCTCTAATGTCCACAGCCACCGATATCTGAACTGTTGGCACAATTTGGCCATGTTCTTGATTTTGTGTTATTTTCTTTAAAAATATTACACAGGCTAGTCTCTGCTGTGGTACAATCCAGTATTGCTCTGTCTCCATCCACTCTACTGGAGCCTGGTCTAAACACATTTGTTAATCCTGTTGTACTTTCCAAACACCGATACAAGACCATGGAAGGAGTAAGCAAGAGCTCATAGTATATTGGATATGTCCAGTAGGAATTCCTTGTTGGTGTTGCCCATGAGTAGATCAAACCACCATTCTGCCACTTTTAAAATGGTCTGAGTTTAAAGCTTTGTAGTACCATCTTGCTGTTAGTGCCACTACTATTAGTAGAAGCAAAATCTTCCACCATCCTTCCTTTAGGTACTTGAATTATTAAAGTCCTACCTGCACACAACTTGAGAGACGACGTGTGTGGAAGGGTGCATTGTACCAGAATCCCCAAAGAACCTTTCTCGAGTCAGACAGGCTAGTGGAGAACTTGTGAAGGGAGGAATACAGCATGTATATCAAACAAAAAAGGCAACTCCTCTAGTCACACTCTATCTCCCAAAATAGATCTAAATGGTGCCTGGTTGAAATATAACAAACCTTCTACCAACTTTGCCCTCTTCTTAGCAGCTGACTGTGTACTGTTCCTTTTTTCCACCAAAAATTAGAAATTAATGTTAGAGAGACATCTTGCGTCTTCCACTCCCTTTGCCTTCCTTTATTTTAGTTGGCTCGTCATAACAAAGAGCTGCAGAACATGCTGAAGCCTGGAGGTCAGATAGAAGGAGATGAAGCTCTGGAGTTCTATGCCAAGCACACAGCACAGATTGAGGTAAAGAAGGAAATCATGAATGCCACTTCATGCTGGATTGGGTGTTCCTAAGGATGCAAAAAATCACTTTCCTGGGAGGAGACTCCCCTTAAAAACAGTTTCTCTGTTAAGTGCATTTTGATTCTGGTGGTTGTCTTAAACTAGCCACCTAGGTGTGGATTATTCTGTCCTTCATGTGGGTGTAGGGCTTTTTTCCTGCCTCTTCCAGGGGAACTATTTTTGAACTGTCTGAGTGGATACCCTGACTCTGGCTCAGTTTTATAGGCAGAACTACAGAGAAGCCTACTTGCAAATTGAAGTGCAACTTGAATCAAGAGAATATGGTTTGGCCAATACTATCACTGAATCCATAGGGAAAGTTAGAGCATATTTATAACACTTTTTTCCTACAAAATAAGATTTGACAGACATTAAGCCAAACTAGAGCGTTTTTGAAAACTTAACTGGATGTCATGGGGTGATTTTTAAAAACTTGTGTAATGTATAAGATAACAGCAATCAAAAGTAGCTCCTATATATAAAACAATAGTTGATTTTGCTCGTATAGTGTGAGTGTGTTGGTATTTTCTATGGTGACTAAGTTAGATACCCAAATTCCATTGAAATTCAAAAGGAGATGAGTACTTAGCTCCTTTAGATCTTCTAAAAATCCTAGCTTAGAACAGTAATGCCATGGTAAGAGTATACAAGATATTGTAATGCAAGGTCAGTGTAAAGTAAGTAGTAAATTACTGTCATAATGTACTAATAAACCACTGATCCAATGGTTTTGATGTTTAAATTGTAGAATTTCAGTACATTTAAAAAGTATCTGACATTACCACATTCCCATTATTTTGAAACAATGCACAAAAAACAACTCTGCAAACTCAAAAATCTGTATTGTCTAGATTGTTAGATTGGACCGTACAATGGAGCAAATAGTCTTCCCTGTGCCAAGTATATGCGAATTCCTCACCAAGGAATCTAAACTACGGATATACTACACCACAGAAAGAGATGAACAAGGCAGTAAGATCAATGATTTTTTCTTGAGATCAGAAGACCTCTTCAATGAAATGAACTGGCAAAAGAAATTGAGAGGTAGGTTGGAAATACTAACGTCTCAGGCTGAAGAAAAGTTGTGTTTTATAATAAAGGTCTTCAGAATACTAAATCTTGATTTCATAGCGAATCTTTCCCCAGTGTGGTAGTGACACTGAATTGTATTTGAAATACCCAGCTCTCCTGCACTGTAACATAATGTTGCGACTCAATAGTGTTTAAAAAAAAAATGTTAAAAAACAAGTATTCTCAAATAGAGAGATTTCACAGTTACACTGAGGTTAGTTTTACTGTGTGATTTTTCATACAAGACTAGAACATAATCTGTTTTCTGCCTCGATATTTTAAAATTCTAAACTAATATTTCTATTCGGATTATCTAAAACAAACATGCATTTCTGTCTGAGGCTCTTGTACAGTTGTCACCATTAAAAAGTCAGCATTTGCCAACAATGACACTTTGTCAGTATCAGAGAGAATGCGGTTTATTCCCAGCACATAGATTAGGAAATACTGTGGTATCTGTTGGCAAATGTTGCCCTCCTGGACTCTAGTTATTAATGCACGTGCTTAGAGTGCTCCAGAGTGCCCCTCTAAATGAAATACTTTGCTGTCTATGCTTACTAGAGGAAATGTAGAATTGCATAGGCAGTGGAATTGTTTGCAGAATAAGTTGTACAACTATAAACTATCACGGTCTGCCTGGAGCTCCAGAGAGACCCAAGCCAGTTAAACTAATGTGATAACAATTGCTTTGCAAGACTTTCCCTTGACATTAACAGCCAGAACTTGCCCTCAGTCTTATGTGCAGAGCTCCCAATGGAGTCAATGAAAGTTGAGCATCTTAAGCCCTAGAGGACTAACGAAAACTGAATATATGGTTCCAGCTGCTGGGATAAACTTAGAAAAGTTATTTTTCTAACAGATAAAAATAAACTATAATCCTATTACTTGAAAGCATGAAAGTTATGTGTGGATCAGATATAGTCTAAAACGTATTCAAATCCCCTGAAATGTATTTGACCTGTCTGGTGAATACTAAATGGAGCGGCTAGCTATTTCAGCATTAACAATAGCCTTATATTTTTGATAGAATCAGAATCTTGTGTAAGCATCTTCCCAAAATGACCTAAGAATCATACAAGAAATGCACTGCTCTACATATAATATAGTTAGCAATGCATAATATGAAACACTTTGGGGAAGTGGTCAACTATATTTATTGACATAATCATTCAAATAAAGTTGGTTGTGTTTTGTTTCTTGTCTGGTTGAAACTTAACTCTAGGTTTCCAACTAAAGAGTTTCATTAAAATTATAATTCGAGGCCTCTGAGGCCTTGTCTACACTACCGGGGTAAGTCGACCTAAGTTACGCTACTCCAGCTATGTGAATAATGTAGCCGGAGTGAACGTAGCTTAGGTCGACTTACTGCGGTATATACACTGCGCTGTATATATGACGAGAGCATCTCCCATCGACTTACCTTACTCCTCTCGTTCTGGTGGAGTACCAGAGTCGACCAGAGAGCGCTGTGCGGTCAATTTTCGACCCCCACTACATCGATCACAGCAGCGTCGATCCCGGTAAGTGTAGACATGGCCTGAGAGACTTAGATCTGCCTTCTTATCTTTTAGACTTGCATATACATCTTAGATGTAGGTGTGCTGGTTGGGTCCAGGGAGGGTAGGCACTGCTCAGTGATCGTCTCTTTCTGGAATAGTAAAATGTGTTCCAACATGAGCTGGTACTACAGGACATTAACTCGTAGTACATTCAAATTTGCAATAGATTTCAAAATCATTGATGGCAAAGCATCCATTTTCCCCCTATGGTCAGGTAGCAAGTTACTAGCATTTTTTACAAGTCTCCCATTCTAGATTCAGTAAACACTCAAGCAAGCCTACCAAAACCAGGGTGAGATTCTCCACAGGGCAGAAAGCCTGTGCCACATCCTGAATGCAGGTGCAAGGTAGTGTTTGTGGCTCTGTGTGGACCCTCTGTACTGAATTTAATTCCGTACAAACAGGTTTCCAGCTGGTGACAAATGCCTTCCATTTAAAGCATATTAAAAACAAAAAGAATATGGAGAACAATGCATCATATACCAGAAGTGTTGATGTATATAATTTCAGTGAGGTCTTGCATGTGTCTAGGTTTAGGTGCAATGAAGTTTGATATTTTTATGATGACTGCATACCTTAGTATTTGCCATTCCTTAGCATTCGGCTCATCAACACATTTGCCTTTTATGTGCATTTCAGTTCCGTGTATAATGAGGCATTATATAATTTTTTTTACCCACCTTTAGCCTCTTAATAACATTGAGAATCCCTGTTAAGAAGGAGAATGATTTGTTAGGGCTTAGGGAGAGATGGATGTTGTGAGGCTCTGGGTCTTTGCATTCATTAATTTATCCTCATATGTAACTCATGAGTTACGCTTTTTTTAACTCTCTTCCCTCAACTTTCCTGTGAGCTCCTTTCCTTTCACTGCATCATGACATCTCTATGTATGTACTTTTTCCTTTTTGGCAGGAGGATGCTTGACATGTTTCCCTTTAATGAGAGTATTTTTCTTAGATTGCAAGAACTACCGACTTCTGCACCCACCACCAGGCAGTATGCCTGCAGTAGATAAATTCCAGGGGATTTTAATTCGATGCAGATGGATTTATTGTAAGATAGCTTCTCGGAGTGCTCTCCTTTTCATCTTAATGGGTCCATGACCATTTCAGAAAATGAGTCCTTTAGCTCTGATCTGTGCTCCTTAATTCTGGTTGTAGAGATTATTATAATTAGGACTAGGGGTTGTTTTATTTGGGGGGGAGTGTTTGTTTTTAGTGTTTCGTACACATTCTTAAATAAGAGTTTTAAAATGTGCAGCTGTTTAGTTACCGGCATAGTACTGTGTAGCTACATTTCTGGGAGAAAGCGTTTGTATCCTTGGCCTACAGTAGTGTACTAAATTAGAAGCCCAATTGGCTGCTGTCTCATGTCTCTGGGGTACCATGGTGTTATTGCTGGTATGCTATGAAGCTGTATTATGTATTTAACATCTTGGTTAAATTTTTGTCTTACTGCAATGTGGACACCCTATATTTTGTACGTTAATTCAGGGCTAGATGACACAGTGACTAAAAGGCCAACAGCCAGTCTACACAGGCAATCCTACAGTTGCTGCTACCCAGCTTGCTGCAGTAGAGGGGAACATTTAAGAATGGTAGAAAGTCTAGTGTAGACAAGCCAGCGAATGAGAGCAGCTAGAACTGCACAGCAAAGAGGGATGCAGCCAGAATACTCTCACCCTTGCTAACACATACGAACTTTCACGCTCCTAATCACTTGGAGGGTTTTGGATTTAGTGAGTGCAAACTATAATGGGGAAAACTTAACTATTTTCTCTATGTGCAGGGATTTCTTGGGAGACAACCTATTCTTTGAAGTCATTCTCATGCCGCTGCTAAAGTAATTTGTATACCGAAAGCTAATGTCTGTTTTAACATTTGGTCCTTTGTCTGAAAGGCCAATCAAATAAACTTCAGAACAAGTGGTTTGTTTTTTACTGCAGTTGCTCTTGTGCTTCTCTGCAAAGTGTAAATAAACAGGGCTTTGATGGAGATGTCCTGTCTTACCACAAGCCTCGGATGTCTTTGAAACACTCACGTTTTTCTCTTCCTTCACAGCTCAACCTGTATTGTACTGGTGCTCTCGCAACATGTCCTTCTGGAGCAGTATTTCGTTTAACCTTGCGGTCCTTATGAATCTACTCGTAGCATTTTTCTATCCATTCAAAGGAGTCCGAGGAGGTACTAATATTTGAGACATTTAAAAAAAACAAAAAAACACCATCTGAACAGATTAGATGCAATAGGCCAAATTCTTCCCTTACTTACAGTGGTGTAACCCTTTTAACTTCAGTGAGGATACTGGGTGTAAATGAGGGTGGAAATTGGCTTTTGGAGGGCAGGGGAGATTAATATTGCTTTAAATAATACTTGCAAGGGGAAAATGGTGGGGGTTGTAACAGGATTGAATTGCACTGTTTTCTATTTAATACAAACTACTTCGGAAATGTTTGCAAGCAAAATATCGGGTCTGATTTCTGTCTGTGGAAAAATTACCCAAGAAAGAAATCAGCAATAATTATGTGACTGTGCTGCTTTCAAGTTTTATTTCATAACTGTATATTTTGCTAAACAATGTGAAGAGCATTTATTTTTTACTTTTCTCTAGCTCACATCTTAATAATGTTCTTTCGACATAGCCCTGCAGTAGCTCTCAGTACTGTACAAAGGTGGGCAAGCAACATTATCCCCATTTTTACAGGTGGGGAAAGTAAGTCACAGAGGAGTGAATTGCCCAATACCATATAATATGACAATGGAAGATTCAGAACTAGAGCCTAGGATTTATGTATGCCATTCTTTTGCCCCATCCACTGGGATGCCTCTTCAACATACTGTAGTTGAGAAGTTGCCCAGAGGATTGAGGAAGAGCTTGCTTCCTTAGTCTGCAGCAACCTGTCATTCAGCCCACTTCACAGAACTTTAAAAGTTGTCCTTAAGATCACTGCTATAGAAGAAGCTAGTGATGAGGTATGCAAATCTTGAGGGGATTGTGCAGTCCCTGCTGAATCAAACAGTGACGTAGGGTTGGGGTGATCATTTCTAGCCAGGGTTCAGAGCCAGTTCAGGGAGATACTTCCAGCTGGGGCTTAATTGGATTCAGCTGACCGTACTTGGGCTCAACACCTTACAGGAGTGGGTTACTCCCCAGGGAGAAGAGACACATTGGGTCATGTTAGCCAGAACACACAGCTGGAAGCTATGGAGAAATTGAAGATGCCATGTTGGGTGTTTATATTTTATATAGAGAGTTCACCGCTTGTAAAACTGCATGGAAGAAATGTGCAACTAGAGGCTTTTGCCACACGTCTGTAAAGTGGGGTGAACGAGAACCCCAGAAATAAAACCTCATCCAGGAGAGGGTGATTGATGAACAAACTTCTGCTTCCCTTTCTTTCATCATTCTGACGCTGGCCCTGCTGCAATATCTAAGGCATAATGTACATATGAAATGGATCTAGGTAACATGCAGATATGTACTCTCTCCAATTGAGCTTTCCTTTCTGATCCATCTTGCCACTCCTCAGATCTCTTACTGGTGGTGTGGTGGGTTGTATGTTTCAAAGCTTCAGCCGAATACATCTCAACCATAGCCCAACTAAAGCCCAAAATCCAATGAGCCCTACGTGTGAAATGAAAGCCACCAGAAAGGATGCCACAAAAATAGTAAAGGAATAAGGTGAACTACAGTTTAGAGGGCCTTAATTTATCAATTTAGGATTTGATGCTGAGCTACAGGAGCAGTGGGGTAGAGGCAGATCAGCACAGATAAGTTAAATGGGGATCTAAAATGATGTTCCTCTTCTCCAATGAGGGCATTGAGACAGTACGTCCCTTGTGACCAAGATCTCTGACATTCTGGTGAGACAGTTGTTTGGGAGAGAAGAGCTGGGATAAATTCTGGAATGTAGGATTCTTGTTTCTGCAGGAATTCTCTCTTCTGCCACAAGATATAGTAAAACCTTGTGCAATTATCTGCGTACTGGTTTCACCGGTGGTTGGAAAGATTTAGCAAGTGCAAGCAAACAGTCCCCAAATTTCTATGTCTAGTTTCAAAGATCAGAAGTTTAAGTTTTAAAAGTCTGATTTTATGGCTGTTTGTGCAATGTCTAATAAACAGTTTATATGGGATTATGAGTTACACCCCTTTGATTCTAATGGAAAGGAATCAGGGTTCTGAGTAAGATGGGAAAAGGAAATAATCCTTCTTCTTCCAGTGCTTGCTCATATCGATTCCATTCTAGGTGTCATCGGAGATTTTTGCCTTAGCGGTACCTGGAGGGTTGGCTGTAGCTCTCTCTTGAGCGCTGCGCTCATGCATTGGTCTATTAGGTGATGCCGACCCTACGCCCTCTCCGTTCCTTCTTACCGCCCGTGATGATTGGTCAGAGCGCCTTGTCTTGTATTGCAAGAGCGTTAGTGGTTCTTACAGTCCATTGTTCTGTCTCCTTTGTTGTTAATTGATGGGTACTTAGTTAGACCTTTAAGTTTAGTGTTAGGCTGGGACTTTGCCTCGGAGCGGAGCTTTAAGTTCCCCAGGCTTTAAGTCATGTTCATTGTGCAGCCGGCTGATGCCCATTAGTGACCCCCATGGGAGCTATTTAAAGTGTTTGGGGGAGTCCCACAGAAAGGCTAAGTGCAGGATCTGCAAAAACTTTCGCCCTCGAACTCAGAAGGCACCATAGACACCAAGCCAGGCGACGGACCCGGCCAAGGCCCCAGCATCTCCAGGCAAGCCGGTTATGGGACCGCCCCCTAAAGTAGCAGAGCAGCCTCGGTCCCTGGTTAGAAGACGCATGTCCCTGATGCCAAGGTCTCCTCCTGCAAGGCCCGGGACACCTGAGTCGCGACGCCAATCCCCATACCCATGGTATTGTTGGGCTTTCTGCCAGAGTTTGCCACGGTGCAGATCACCATCACCTAGACAGTCTCCCAGGCATTGATTTCCCTCCCCCCCCACCCTCCAGTGTGGGATTGGTCACGGCACTGGTCTCTGGCTCCTCTTCGGGCAGGAGCTGGTCCTCGCCCTCTCCTTACCGGTCGCCGACAAGGGTCAGTCAGCAGAATCAGGCATCTACAGCTCTGCCCTGATCACCAGAAGGGCAGTGGTCCGAGCCTGAAGGAGAGTTCAGCCCCTCGCCTAGAAAAAGCGAATCACCACCGGCCCGCGAGACCGTGGCTCCTGTGGCAGTGGCCCACTCAGTGGCAGTACTGGAACCCGTGGGGTATACCTACGTACTCCCACCATTCCTCCCTGGCCGCATCGTACAAGCTGCCCCCGGCGCAGCCGGCACCCGCGTCAGACCGCCCAACGACTTCAAGGAGCACCAGGCCCTGCTCAAAAGAGTGGCTGGCTGCCAACCTGAACTTGGAGGTTGAGGAGCTAGCGGAGGAGTCTAACCTCTTTAATGTTATACCCTCCTCCACCCCGGCCTGGGTCGTGTTGCCTGTCCACCCAGGGGTCCTTAAAATTGCCAAGTCTGTGTGGCAGATCCCCTCTTCCATCCCGCCTACCTCCAAGAAGGCAGAAGAGAAGTACTATGTCCCCGCAAAGGGGTTTGAGTATCTGTCACTCTCCCTCGAGCAGTATCCCCATCAATAAAAGGGCCAGGCAGGGACAGGCGAGCAGCATGCCGAAAAATAAAGATGCCAAGACTCTGGACTTGTTTGGCTGGAAAATTTATTGGAAAGCCAGCCTGCAATTTCGGGTGTTTAACCAGCAGGCCCTGCTAGCCAGGTACAACTTCAACCTGTGGGACTCCATCAACAAGTTTAAGGAGGGCCTCCCACAGGATCGAGCCCAGGAGTTCGCCATCTTGGTGGACGAGGGCAAAGCGGTGGTGAGAGGCACCTTCCAGATAGCCTGGGATGCTATGGACTCAGCTGCCACGGTAGTCGCCTCCGCAGAGGTTATGAGGTGCAGCTCCTGGTTACGGTCCTCTGGGCTGTCACAGGAGATGCAAACTACCCTTCAGGACCTCCCATTTGAGGGAGCAGCGCTCTTTTTGGAGCTGACAGACACACAACTCCACAGCCTTAAAGACTCCCGTGCCATCCTCCGTTCCTTGGGCCTCCACACCCCTCAGCAGGCTAGAATGCCTTTCCATGCCCCGCCACCTCCGTCAAGGTCCTGGAGTGCCCCCCAGTCCAACTCCTACAGAAAGGAGAGAGACAAAGGATTTAAATGACATCACCCTTCATCTTCCCATTCTTCCTCCCATCCTGGTTCTTCCAGAGGCCAAGGAAGCCAGAAGCAGGGGTTTTGAGGATGCGCCCGAGGATGGCATCCCAGTTACTTCCCAGGATCCACCCCCACTCTTTCCTCAAGCGCCTGCACCCCTTCTGGTCGGCCTGGTCGTGGCTGAGCTCAGACTGTTGGGTGCTCGACATAGTATCTTCGGGCAATACCTTCAGTGCCTAATATACCAACGCACGAGCGCGGCACTCAAGAGGGCGCTACAGCCCACCGCTAAGGCAAAAATCTCCAACTGTGCACATGGGTGCGCACGCACGCACCTAGAATGGAATGGACGTGAGTAGTACATCTTGAAGAACAACAGTTACGAAAAGGCAGGTAACCATTTTTTTGGCCTTTTAACTTCTAGGGACTTCATCTTGCACATTCTCAACACCTCATGAAGCATCTAACGCTTTTAAAAAAACCTCTCTTTGTTATTTATATAAAATCATTTTAAACTCTTGATTTGTTAAACAGCTTTAATCTTTTCAAAATGGATCATTTAGGGGAAAATTCTCATTTTTCCCAAATTAGCTGTTACCACTCAAGAAAGAGAGCTTGGAGTCATCGTGGGTAGTCCCTGAAAACATCTGCTCAATGAGCAGCAGCAGTGAAAAAGCTAACAGAATGCAAGAAACCATTAGGAAAGGGATAGATAAGACCGAACATATCATCATGCTGCTATATAAATCCATGGTACGCCCACAACTCGAATACTGCATGCAGTTCTTGTCACCTCATCTCAAAAAAGATATATTAGAATTGGAAAAGGTCCAGAGAAGGGCAACAAAAGTGATTAGGGGTACAACACAGCTTCCATATGAGGACAGATTAAAAATGACTAGGACTGTTTAGCTAAGAAAAGAGATATCTAAGAGGGAATATGATAGAGGTCTACAAAATCATGAATGGTGTGAAGAAAGTGATTAGGGAACTGTTATTTACCCCTTCACATAACACAAAAACCAGGGGTCACCTGATGAAATTAATAGGCAGCGGGTTTAAAACAAACATAAGGAAGTACTTCTTCGCACAATGCACAGTCAACCTATGGAACTTGTTGCTATGGGAAGTTGTGAAGACCAAAAGTACAACTGGATTCAAAAAAGAATTAGAGGAGTTCACGGAGGACAGGTCCATAAATGGCTATTGGCCAAGATGGTAAGGGACGCAACCTCAAGCTCCGAGTGTCCCTAAACCTCCAACTGCCAGAAGCTAGAACTGGATGACGGGGGATGCTTCATTCGAAGTTGCCCTATTATGTTTATTCCCTCTGAAGTATCTGGCACAGAGACCGGATACTGAGCTAGATGGACCATTGTTTTGACCTAGTATGGCCATTCTTATGGTGTATCTACATGGTTCAGGCCAGCTGAACTCTGAGCTGCTAAGTGCATAATACTGTGAGATTTATCACAGTGTGGAAGGCCAAAATTTGCAAACTTGAATGCCTATAATTAGGTACCTAAATCCATGTCTAAATAAGTGTCTGGGGTTTCCAAGATGCCGAGAATCTTCCATTGATCTTTGAAGGTGCATAGCACTTCTGAAAACGGACATGTCTTTCTGCCAGCAGATGTGCAACAGACTCCTGACACCTCTTATGACTAGGAGTGTACATGTCTTCACTGAGAATCACTCAGCTTTGGCCAAAGATTGGTCATTCCCAACTTGGAACTCTGTTTTCCAGGGGCTAAAACATTGCTTCCGCTATGCTCCCAGCCCTTACTGTCCCTGGCAGCGAGGAATGAGTTTGTGACCTGAACTCTAATCTCTTTTCTATTCCCACGCCATCCACTTTGAGAAGGCAGCAGAACATGCTGCTGGGGCAGTCTTAAAAGTTCCCTTTAATAACAGCATTCCATTCCACTTATTCTAATGCTGATGAGCAGCCTGTGGTGTGGCCTTTCAAAAGCACATACTGCAGGCAACCTTGAAGGTGTCTTTAATTCTAGCTAGATATGCAGGCCTGCTGTGAATGGCTGAAACTGAAGAGAGAATATATTCATGTTTTAGATTTTATTATAACTGTCAGAATATTAACACTGAAACAGGTGGCTAGATCCTTTAAAAGTGCATTCTACCCTCTCACTGGAATTCCAATGCCGAGTATATTCACTTCCTAAATGGTCTTTTGTACCTTCTCTCTGCTTTCCCCTTCCTGTGGTATATGTCCCTTTCAAATCTGATGCCTCTGTTTTGAGCATTGCACCTTTGTTCCTTAGGGCTCTGCCATGGCAGGCATTTTGTCTGAAGTTTTTGAACACACTGTGCTCTCTCTGGGGGACATGGCTTTTGTTCATTCTTCTGTTGTTTTTCATTAATCTAAAATAAGTAATTCAGAATGAAAGTGCATGGTTGTTCTTCGTATATGGAAGAGCATAACTCTCCTTCACTCCCCTCCCAGTCTTGTTTGAAAAAGCCTTCGTTGTGCATGTGTTGACGTGCTTACTGAGATGGAACAATCCCCTCAGTTCTGGCACAGGGGCTGCAGACTGCTACAGAAAGTTTAGGGAATCTCTCCCTCTAATCTGGTTCCTGCTGAGATACAAATGGTTTGGAAACATGCAACTCTTTTTTTATGTGGCCTTTGTCATGAAGGGATGGTTGTTCATGTTTGAAGTAGCCCCACAGTGTGCTAGAGTTGTAGGCCAGGGTTTTTTTTATGGCTCTTTAACTGAAGTGTATTTGGCTGATGTTACATAACCAGCGAGGCGCATGGGACGCTCCAAAGAGAACGAGAAATACCAGAGATGGCAAAAACTGGTAAAGCTTTTAGTTGGAAAAAAAAATTAATAGAAGGGTAGGATAGGAGTAATAGGAAGGTTAGGCCCAGCGATTTCTGTTGTCACTCTTCCCCTCCCATTCAGGGAAGCTACTGAGTGCATTAGAAAATCGGTCTTCTCTGTTTTCCAATGATAATGTGTCTAAGTAACGCACAACAAAATGAAGACTCCTTTAATGATGATGCTTGACACACAGTGCTTTACGTGTTCAGGTAATATACTTAATTAAAATGTACCCGGGATGCTGTTACTCAGATTCACCACTCATCAATCTGTAATGGCTGAACAGGTGGGTTAGTGATATTGCACAGTAATAACATTAAAATGCCATTTATCTGGCTAATCTTGGCTTATTATATTTGGTAGTTAGGAATATTTAATCTTCTTTTATTTTTTCCATACTAGGTACACTAGAGCCCCACTTGTCGGGCTTACTCTGGACAGCTATGCTGATATCTTTGGCCATAGTTATAGCTCTTCCTAAGCCCCATGGTATCCGAGCTTTAATAGCTTCTACGATATTACGACTAATATTTTCAGTGGGTTTGCAGCCTACTTTATTTCTTCTGGGTGCATTCAATGTAAGTATCTTTTGGGTTTTCATTTAAATTCTCTTGCATTTTACATAAGAATTTCTTATCCACTCGTGAAAATACCAGACTCTAAATACTCAGTCCAGAACATTGTGGAGTAATTGGTGTAAAAAGTAATTCCCTAATTGGATTGGGGCTCTTCTTTAAAAATAGAATCGCTGTGCTGTGCTTCTGTTGGAAGTTTAAGAGCTCCAACGTGTGTCTCTGCTTTGTCACACTCTAGTGACAGCTCCCAGCTCAGCTAGAAATGTTAAGAAATCTCTGTGACCCTACAGTACTTTAAATTGTTTGCTCAAACCCTTCTCTTGTTCAGTCGCTAAGCTACAGAAGATGGGAGTTTGTAAGATTTATCAAACAATAAGTGTCCCAAATGCTTGTAGCTTACCTGCCAGTCAAAAGTAGGACATTGAGCAGTTTGCTGCAGAGCAAACATGCAAGTTCAGCCACCAGAGAGAACTTCAGTAAGACTCAAATTCAAACATTTGTGGTCTGCAGGCAGAAGGGGTCTACCAAGTGAGCCAAAAGGAAGCTTCTCTTTGACTAAGCCAATAGGAGCTGTGCGAAGGTTGTATCTCCTGGATGTCTTTTTGTGTATATATTACATAAGTACCTTAAAGCAGACAATTGAATTACATGTCTTGTTATCTAAATATGTTCACAGTGCCACATATATGCCAATATGTTAGCCAGTCGACAATGGTATTATTATTATTATTTGTTGTGGTAATGCTGAACAGTTCCATTTGTGGTTGGGGAACCATTGATATTGGCATTGCTGTGTCCTGATTACTATATACCCAATCTAAAAATAGTTGGGTGATGGGAACCTGGATTATTTTCTTACTAACAAGTTACACTAACAAGTGTCTCAGAAATGTAAGTGCTTCTGTTCCAAGGAGTTATTTGTTTTAGGCCGATGCATTTTTGAGTGAGAAGTTAGTTTTACACTATTTTTTAAAAAGTCTTACCTCTTCCAACTGGGTGATTTGTTTTTGCAATCTCAAATATGTAGACGTATTCAGTCACAATTGAAAAGATTTTGTGTGTACATTTTATAAGGGCCAGTTTTTTTGCTCTTGGGTCAATTTAGATTGGGCTGCATAGATAGACGTAACTGAGGGCAGAGGCTGACCTGAATGTGTAAATTGCTCAATCATTCTACAAGTCCTTATTGCAGTTGTTGATAGAAACATGTTGCTGAATTCCTACTGACTTAGGGTCTGCAATTGTCAGGCATATGTTGCACACTATAGCTAACCTTTACTGTAATTATCTCCTTAGGTTTGTAATAAAATAATTTTCCTGATGAGTTTTGTGGGTAACTGTGGAACATTCACTAGAGGATACAAGGCAATGATCCTGGACGTGGAATTCCTTTATCATCTGCTATACCTTCTTATTTGTGCTATGGGGCTCTTCGTACATGAATTTTTCTATAGTTTGTTGGTAGGTATTCATCTTCTCTTTTGAAGTGCTGTCTGTGTTTTTCTAAAGCCACCATCGCAGTAGTATCTAGAAGACATAAATGTGTCACTGTACAACCTACCCAAAAATAGAACCTAGGTTTTCCACTTCCAGTGTGGCTGCTGTCCTTGGTGGGGTTGCTTTTTAGTGCTAGACCTTTTCAGGAGACCAAACTCATGCAGTTTTAGCTTGAGAGCTTACTCGGGGGACTCGCACTGCCCCTGTGCTACTCCTGCTCTCCTTACCTGAGAGATAAATGGAAGACTTGTAATTTCTTCTACTCCAGTACAATACACAAGCAGGGCACATTGCTTTATTGTAATTAAAATGTGGGATTTATGAATGTGTACAATTGCAAAGAGGACTAATTTACAAGTATTTCCCTGTTTCAAGCCCCATTCCCAGATAACTAAAGTATTGGGGAAAGGATAAAAGCAGATTCCTTTGGCTAAATGTGCAATTTCTTAGCTTGCCTAGACTATATAATTTGTCTCTGGTTCTAAGGTTAAATAATAAATTGGCTTAAAATATCCTCAAAGTAACATTGATACCAGGTGAAGTATCCAAGTCTCAGCTAAGTCACCAGTGGGCACTACCCAGATCAGAAAACTCTGTACAAAATCTGGCACAGATAGCACATAAATGGTAGCTACTTCAGGAGAAATCCTGGCGGGAACGAGAGGCAGATTGTTCTGCAAGGCGAGTGATGCTTCCCCAGTGTCAGAAGCTGTACCAGTGACTTACAGTGAGTTTGGGTGCTTAGTATATTTGGGAGCCTTTTTTTAATCTCTGACCATGATTCCAAGCCCTGGGGAGTGACCAGGATCCCTTGCCTAAGCCTTCCCATTAGGTGCGGAGCCTACAATGCATGACGCAATACTATTCAAAGTGTGTCATGAACAAGTATGTCTATAGCAGGCAGGTGTCAATTTCTAAACAAGCCCCTACTTAGTTGCTGCTTGCTACATCATTCTGTATCTGTTTTCAGTTGTTTTCTTTATTCCTTTATGGAGAAATTGGGAAACGTGGTTTTACTGCCACAAATGTGTCATCTGTGTATGACAGTTTACTCTTCTAGCATACAAATCTGCAATCTGATGACAAGGAAAAGTATGAAAGGGACAGTAGCTTTCTGCAGACCTCATATGACCTCTCTTCAGAGTTCTTTAGAGGGATATGCATAGGGTAAGCGGGTGGAGGGCGGGAGTTGGAGTGAGGGTTTTTTTTGCCATCTCATATTGTAACATTTATTTTGTCCCATCATTCAGTAACTGACTGTTCCATGTCATGTCGGCGATAGGATAGATTTAGAAGAATGGGAAGTGAAGGAAGTATTTATGTCCATAAGGAAACTAAGACAAAACCCAGAAAGATTAACCCACCACCATAAATCCAGCCTTTCCCAAAAACCCTTAGTTTAAGCATGTCGTCTTTCTTTATTTTTTTAACTGAAGTTTAAAGAGACCTGCCAACTTTAACTTCTGAAGTAGGTTGTACTTTTCAGTTTGGTGCTGAAAAGAGAGAATGTGAAGCACAGATCATCAATTAGATGGTTACTTAAAAAAAAAAAAAAAAAAAAAGTGTATTGGGAATGGGTAATGTAAAATCAGTCGGGTGGTTGTGCCATTCCATTTAGTTAGTAGGTGATGCTCCAGAATTCTAAATTAACTATCTGCTTTAAAAAAGGGCAAACTTTAAAACATTGGAATTAGATTATTTACATCTTACTCTGCATTGCCCCAAAATGTAACATGCCATCAGTTTTGTTAGCAGTAAACTTGTGAAACGGCTTGACCTGCCCCTTTTTTCCAGCTTTTTGACTTGGTGTACAGAGAAGAGACCTTGCTGAATGTCATTAAAAGTGTCACTCGCAATGGACGTTCCATCATCCTGACTGCTGTTCTTGCTCTTATCTTGGTTTACCTGTTCTCGATAGTGGGGTACCTGTTCTTCAAAGATGACTTTATCCTGGAAGTAGATAAGCTGCCTAATGAAACGTTATTGCCAGGTTGGTATTGGACATTTTAACTGTGCAAGGTTGAAAAGCATAAAGGGCTTGCCCCTGCACAGCTTGCAGGGGGTACTCGACACCTGATAGGATTCAGTACAGATGTAGTTCCGGTAAAAGATGCTTTCCAAACGAGAAATTGGCTGATGCAAATGGCGTTTCTAATGTTGTGTAAATTAATGCCAAGACCCGTCTCCCCTAAAAAAGGAGACAGCATTTAAACTTTCCTTTTTGCATACATTAGAGATTTCTTACAGTGCATGATATGACAGTCGAGATAATCCAATTCAGCTAAACATAGCTTCTGCCCTGACTTAATTGCAGGCATACTAGAGGCAGGGCCAAAGCTACATTTAGCTGAATTGGATTATCTCGACTGTCATATCCCTCCATCTGTGAAGTTTACATCCTGCCTTGGTTAGGCAGAACCTAAATGTGTTTTGGCAAAAGCCCACTCGTTCTCCCAGACTTTAACTGGTGAGGTTGCTGGTTTCAAATACTGGGAGAGCCTGCAAGTTAACTTATGGGATTTGGACAGTTTATTTTTGCTTTTAATGGTGGGTTTAATTCTACAACAATCAAAATAGAAACATCAATAACAAAATAAATACAAATGAAAGGGAGTGTGGAGGTGCTCCTGTGAGCTCAAGCTATATGCTTTTCCGCTATTCGTTTTCTCAGTTTGCATTCAGAATATTAACCTCCACCAAATACTTGCTTTAGGTTTAACTTGCTTTAGCAAGTTTTTTTTTTTCTGAATTAAGATTTGGTCATTGCAAGTAAAATGTTGTTTTCCATTAAACAGGCAGCTTAGTGATTGAGGTGTACAGATAGAACAGCAAATAACCTTATTAACAAGGCACTTCATTTTTTTCCTCCAAAGCTTAAACTGTTCAGAAAAGCATTGCTTGATCTTCTTGCTACCAGACATTATTTTTTACCATTTATCAGATTAGAGGTCAAGAACTAAATGACACTTTGCTTCAACTTTTCCACACAGTTGATCTCAATGCCAGGGACATCTCATTATCTGTAACACCTGATAAACTTGCACTGCATGATGAATGCAACTTTTTGAAACACCTTGAAACCATGTCTGCTGAACATAGTGTATCATAACAATTTCAACTACTTCATGAACTTTGGGGCGGAGTACTGTGTACAATAATTGTATGGCATTTGGTCCTAGTGCACAGAAATAGAAAGCATTTTATTTTGTCCTTCATTTAAACATTGTTAAATAACAAGATGCAAGCGTTTAATTGGACTCTAACCTTCAAATCCCAGTGGAAAAATCTTTCCCAGGAATATACGCATGTTACTTAGTGCAGACTCAGTTCATATTACAGTGTGTGTTAACACCTGTGGATCAGTTATGTAAAAAGTGAAGCAATGTTAATTTTTGATGCCACAACTTGCATTTTTGTAGACCATACAGAAGCTGGTGATACCATGACTGGGGAGTTCCTGTATTCAGATGTATGTAGAGCAGGCAATGGGGAAAACTGTTCTTCAGTCATTCCTTCAGAAGGTAGGTGTCTTTCAGTACTGAACTCTTACACCACAGCTTTAATTTTCACTCTGTTCTTGCCAAGTATCTTAAATTTAAAAAACTTGTGTAATTAAACCAGGCAGAATAAAGATATCAGGGGCGCATCTGATTTGAGGGAGGATTAATTTATCCCACCTTCCCATTAGCGTAAATATCTTTTGGTACGTGAAATACTGCGTGTAAACTAGAAATACTTACTTCATTGCAATGGGATTGCTTAGTACTGAACTGAATTGAAACATGTTGTGTTTTGAACTGCCTTGCCTTATGAGTTTGAGAGGGAAAAAGTGATGCAGCTCGTCCTCTTTGTAAAATCCTGAAGCTTGCAACAACAGATCAACAATTCTGACCTCAGAAGTTGGTCTCTGAATTTACGAGCATCTTCAAATGTTAGTGTGGAAAGATGCAGTCAAATATAAATGCATTGGTGATGACCGTATTCTAACTATTTAGTGAAGGAATACATTTTTAATATTGTTTTGGACTATTAAGAAATAATAAACAGAATAAATACATAAAATGGTGGGGGGGTTTTTTAAAAAGAAAAAATAAATATGTTGGGCATGAAATATAGCTGTATGTTTGTCCAATCACGTATGGTACAATGATCAGCCTTAAATTGAATCGTGAAATATTTTGTCTTATTTTCTACATGTTAAATTTACTTCCTTGCTGAGATTAATGGTATTGGCTGTGAGATGCAGACAATGGTGGAATTTTTCATTCAAATAAAGTATTTATGTTTCAAAGGTCAATGATGGCCGAGAGCCCATCTTCTAAAGAGGAAATGTCTGTTTGCTCTAATGTGCCCTATGATAAATTAAGTAACAGAACAGATACAAAAATAGTTCCTTCTATTCTTTCCTGGCTGTAGGAGGCAGGGGATGATTTTGGTGGTCTTCACATACTTTATTTGCAAAAAGACACAGGAAACTTGATAATGTCAGAGTTCAGGTTGATATCTGTTAATATCAGTGCTTGTCTACAGCCAGAGGTGGATGTGATGCACAAATCTCTGATCACCTCCCTAATGTTTGGAGATGTCTAGACACAACATTTTGATTCAGACCCATCTTTAACATTTAATATTGTAATAACTGCACATGCATTTTTATTATCATAGCAAAGACGTGGAGGGTTTTTTAATAGTCTATTTTTGCAGAATACTCATAATTAGTTCTGGAGCTTCCAGAATCAAAATGCATGAATTAGGAATGCAGAGAGCAAACTCTGAAGTTATAGCCAAACTGGTAAAAGTTGGTGGAAAAAGACGTTTGTTCCTTTCAAATAAAATACGGATTCCATAGTTAGTAATGGCACCTTAGCCATTTGAAGTGCAAGAGACAAAGTTTTCCTTTCAGAGCGTAGCTCAAGGCCTGTCCAATCATTCCTCTGTCAAATACCAGGAGATAGCGTATGAACAAAAACTTTGCCCTCAGAGCTGTCAAAAAGCCCTGATTCTATATAAACAGGTATCTGGTAAGCTAAAGTTGGGCATGGTAACAGAACGGCAAAGAGAATTTAGCCAACTCAGCACGAAACTAGAAACAGAATTTTTGGTGGTGGGAAGAGGAGAGACACAACTGAGCCAACAATGGAGACCAGCTGAACAGCTGCTGTTCTGTTCCTAGCTAACAAGTGCTGCTGTGGTGATCTACATGGTTTATTAGATACACATGGTTAGAGTCATATGATTGTTTGTTTTTAAAGGGAGAGAAGAAAACTCCCAGCAAGAGACAATTCAAAAAATGAAGAGAATTATTTAAAACACATCTTCTTGCCTTTTAAACCTGTCTTTGCTTCCTATGTTAATAGAGCTGATATCTAAAGAAGAAATTGAGGAAGAGGATAAAGAGCATACGTGCGAGACACTGCTGATGTGCATTGTTACTGTATTGAGTCATGGGCTCAGGAGTGGGGGTGGAGTAGGAGATGTGCTCAGGAAACCATCCAAAGAGGTAAAATTAACACTGCATGGGGGAGGAAAAGGGAGATCTAGTTTTATTGAAGAGAATGTTGTGTACAGTGTATTAAACATATTATGCATATGTTACTAAATAGAAGGGACCATAGTTCCTTTCCATTTAATATGGTTAAATCTCTGCAATAACCAGTAAGTCAAGCAATGGCACATCTGAAATGAGCTTCCAACTATTTGACCTGCATTATGATGATGATGATTATTAATCATATTTTAGGGTAGTGCCTAAAGACCAACCAAAAATGGAGCCCCATTGTGCTAGGGGCAGTACAAACACAGAGTAGCAGAAAGTTCCTGCCCTGAAGAGCTTACAGTCTAAATAGACAAGACAGATTCAGGAGGAAAATGTAGAACCCACAACCAGAGTGAAATGTTATGTATGTTCCATGGTTGTTTGGGGGAGGCGATTAGCTAAATTGAAAGAAGAGGGAGGAGAATCCTCTTCTGTGATTCTATGGGATGATTTAGTTGGGGGTTGGACTAGATGACCTCCTGACGTCTCTTCCAATCCTAATCTTCTATGATTCTATGGGACAGAGCAAGAGAGAAAAGAAGGTAAGAGAAGCAGGGGAGCTCCAAGGCTAATGTTCTCTCTCCTGCCCTTACAAAAACAGCCAATCAGCACAGGGCACAGAAAGTCCAATCAGAACTGCAGAAAGGGCTCTGGATTGCCAAAGGTCCCTGCTTTGGCTGCTTTGCAGCAGTTCCTAATGGCTGGAGTTTCTGGCTGGTTCCTCCTTACAGTTTTAAACTCCAGGCCAAATGATAGGGGGGAGAGAGTGACCCCAGAGTGGTAGGGGTTAGAGGCCTTCCTGTACTTTTCTGGACCCATGGGGGTGTTGGGAGAGGGGTGGCCACCAACTGGACCCCATTTCACTCCCTCTCCCCAGTGCAGCAGTCCCTGCTTTGTCTGTATCAGATGTCAGAGAACAGAACTATTTATTTACATCATATTTTCTAACGATCCCCTAGTATTCAGCCTGATTTCAGGTAAAATTTCCAAAACCTTGTAAATCCTAAATAGAAGTTAAGCTCCTAAGTGATTTAGATCCTTTTGAAAAGGGGTAAACAGTGAGGTGGCAAAATTTTCAGATGATACAAAACTATTCACGATAGTGAAGTCCAAAGTGTGAAGAGTTACAAAAGGGTCTCACAAAACTGCGTGAGTGGGCAAGAAATATATATATAATATAAAATGATGGAGTCTAAATTAGCTGTTATCACTTAAGAGATCTTGGAGTCATTGTGGATAGTTCTCTGAAAACATCCACTCAATGTGCAGCGGCAGCCAAAAAGGCTAACAGAATGTTGAGAATCATTAGGAAAGGGACAGATAATAAGACAGAAAATATCATACTGCCTCTCTCTAAATCCATGATATGCCCACATCATAAGTACTGCATGCAGATATGGTCTCCCCATCTCAAAAAAGATATATTGGAATTGGAATAGGTACAGAAAAGGGCAACAAAAATGATTAGGGGTATGGAACAGCTTCCATATGAGCAGAGATTAATAAGACTGGAACTTTTCAGCTTGGAAAAGAGACGACTGAGGGGGGATATGATAGAGGTCTATAAAATCATGACTGATGTGGAGAAAATTAAAAAAGGAAGTGTTATTAACTCCTCATAACACAAGAACTAAGGGCCACCAAATAAAATTAATAGGCAGCAGGTCTGAAACAAACAAAAGGAAGTATTTCTTCAGATAACACAGTCAACCTGTGGAACACTCTGCCAGAGGATGTTGTGAAGTCCAAGACTATAACAGGGTTCAAAAAAGAACTAGATAAGTTCATGGAGGATAGGTCAGGATGGGCAGGAATGGTGTGCCTAGCCTCTGTTTGCCAGAAGCCGAGAATGGGCGACGGGATAGATCACTTGATGATTACCTGTTCTGTTCATTCCCTCTGAAGCACCTGGCATTGGTCACTGTCAGAAGACAGGATAGTGGGCTAGGTGAACCTTTGGTCTGACCCAATATGGCCATTCTTATGTTCTTAAAATGTGAGATAGGCATCTGTTTGAAGGCTAGAAGAGGTGTTTGTGAAAGACTTCTTTCAGGATGTGGTCCCCATTGAGCATGGGTTGTAGTTGTTTAATTATAACCCTTATGAGTTCCAGTGTGGGGTGGTAGGTGACAACTAGGGTTGTGCAGTAGGAGGGGTTTTTATTTCTGTATTGAAGTAGGTTTTCTCAGGGTGGCCCATTCCATGATACAATCTAGTTCTGTGGTGGAGTGTCCTTGTTTGGTGAAGGTGGTTTGAAATGTATTAAGGTATATATCTTGGACTTTCTCCTTGGAGCAAATTCCATTGTATCTGAGTTCTTGGCTATAGATAACAGATTTCTTGGTGTGTTTGGGGTGGTTACTGGATTTGTGAAGGTAGATGTGGTGATCTGTGGGTTTCTTGTATATAGTTGTCTGTAGGATTCCATTGTTGAAGCTGATTGTTGGTATCCAGGAAGTTGATGCTGGTGTGGGAGTGCTCTAAAAAGAGTTTAATGGATGGGTGATGGTTGTTGAAGTTGTGGTGGAAATCTGTGAAGGCGTTTGTCATCTGTCCAGAGGATGAAAATATCATTAATGTATCTCAGGTATATCATTGATTTTTGTGGTGCATTTGTCCAAAAATTCTTCCTCAATGTGGCCCATGAAGAGGTTGGCATACTGAGAAACCAGCCTAATACCCATGAATGTTCCTATGGTTTGGACAAAGTGTTTGTTGTTGAATGTAAAACTATTATTGGTGAGGATGAAATGGATGAGTTTGGCAATATGTTGGGGTGGATATCTGAGTGGTGTCCATGTCTTGTAGATATTTGAGGCAGGCAGTGATGTTGTCATTGTGAGGGATATTGGTGCATAGGGAAGTGACATCTATGGTGGCAAGGGCAGTGTTCTGAGGGAGGTTGTTAATGTTGCAGAATTTGTGGAAGAAGTAGATTGTGTCCTGGAGGAAGCTGCTGGTCCTTTGTGTGCTGAGTGGTTTGAGGATGATTTCCATGAGTACCAATATTCCTTCAGTAAAAGTGTGGTAGCCAGATACAACAGGCTGCCTGGGTTCCCCTGTTTGTGTATCTTGGGAAGCATGTAGAAGGACCCTGGGGGTAAGGGATTAGGTTGCAGAGTTTTTCTTGGAGTTGCTTGGGGAAAGATTTGACAATATCCTTAAATTCCTGGGTAAACTGTGGTGTGGGGTTTTCTTTAAGTTTTTTATAGTCGGTGGTGTCAGAGTTCAGGTTAGTTTAATTAAATTCCAAGTGAATTAAAGTAAACTGAATTAAGGCCACTTCAGTTCTGAACCAGAGCAACCACACCAGGTTTTAATGCGGTTTAACTAACCCACTTTCAATTTGAGCTTTCAGTTAATTCGGATTAACTTCCCTGAGTGGCCCCTTGTAGACAAACCCATAGAGTACATCTACGCTACAACAAAAGACCTATGGCACGGCCATGACTGTCCCAGGTCAGCTGCCTCAGGCTGGAGCTGCGAAGCTATAAAATGGTGGTGCAGTCATTCAGGCTTGGGCTAGCTCCTGGGCTCCAGGACCCCGCTGCGATCGGGGACCCGGGCTCTGAGATTCAGTGCCTTCATTTTTTTTTTTTTTTACCGCAGTGTAGACATACCCTTAGATGCTTTTGAAAATTTTACTCTTCATCAGTAGTAAAACAGGCACTCGGGAGCCTAACGAAACTTTGTTACTTGTTTTAGCTAATTAAGAGAATATATGTGGTTATTAGTATGTATAATAAAAACAACCTGTCAAAGGAATGTCAAGAGGTGATCAGGAATAGAAGGAATAAATGACAAGACATGGATGAGTATAGGGTAGATAACAAAGAGGGAAAAGAGACTTGCAGATAACGGGTAGGGGAGAACTGATCCCAGGGAGATCGTATCCTATCACTGACGATGTTTTTCGTGTTAGTAATTTAGGATTTTTTTTTATGATAATAGAGAATTTAAAATATTAAATTTAATCATTGGAAGACTTCACAGATTTGTGTTCTGAAGTAGGGAATCTCAAGAGGTGAGATGGTGGATTGATACAATATTGGTGGTGAGCTGAAAGAGAGAACTGTCATGGTAAGTGTCAAGGTTAACTTTTTAAAATATTTGTCTTACAGGAACCACTCTTTGCTGCTAGAGTGATATACGATCTCCTGTTCTTCTTCATGGTGATCATTATTGTCCTTAATCTGATTTTTGGTGTTATTATTGACACTTTTGCTGATTTAAGGAGTGAAAAGCAGAAGAAAGAAGAAATTTTAAAAACAACTTGCTTTATTTGTGGTAAGCATTTGAAGCATTTGCTTTAGAGCTAGCAGCTGATCTATCCTAACCCAAAGATAGCTGCATGCAGCTTTCCCACGAAGTTATAAGGCTTTGGGAATCAGGAATCCTACAGTGCTGGTAGACCCTACATAGCGTTCTTCAACTAGCTGTCATTCTCAGCTACTACACCTACTTCCTCTTTCAGGATCTGCTGAAAGCTCATCATTATCTCTTCTTAAAGTAGAGAATCCTGATTGAGAGCATCTTCTGTGTTGTCTTTGCTATTGGGAGGAGAATTTGTATTGCTTGTAGAGTTTGAGGAACTTGGCATAAGGAAAAGAGATTGGGAATAGGAGTATGTTGTTTATATACCACTCTTCTAAAGTATACTTCATCTGGCTTGTTTCGTGTTTCACCTGTGTTTTAGACAACAGTTTTATGTTGGAGCATTAGATAAACTAAAATGGATCATGTTTCCAAAGATGCTGGATGGTTTCTGTAAAGCACCTGGTTTTGAATGCACTGAAGTGAAAAGTTAAACTATTGAGACTGTGAGGCCAAAGTGGTTAAATTACATGGCAATACATAAGTTACATAAATGTGTATAGTGATGTATAAGTATCACTTAAAAGTTTGTTGCAAATTAGTTGCTGTGCTTTGCATAACTTTATTTCAAAAAGAGGATATTTTAATGAGTTGATGTTTGTTGCATATCATAGCTAGCTAGCTTCACCATGACTTTTCTAGTATGTGTAATAAATAGAAGTGGTACAATTCCTACTGAGCATTGTTTTCCCATATAATGCCCTTTCTAGGGAGTTAATCCCAGTGACACTGTTTTATTCAAGAATATATTTAATTGTTAATGCAGCATAAATGCCCCAAACTGTATGTTTCTTTCTACTCAGAACTCACATTATGCAAGAGTTGCTAAACACCTAATAGGGATGTGCGATCTCTCTTTTAGGTTTGGAAAGAGACAAGTTTGATAACAAGACAGTCACGTTTGAAGAGCATATTAAAGAAGAGCACAATATGTGGCACTACTTGTGCTTTATCGTGTTAGTAAAAGTAAAAGATTCAACAGAGTATACTGGACCAGAAAGTTACGTGGCAGAAATGATCAAGGTGAGATTGAAGCACTTTCCCCAAATCAGGTTAATGTATATGGTCTATATTTGTTTAGTAAATACAAGTAGTCTGCATATTTGTGTAAGAATTTGAGGAACAGAAGACTTGTCCTACCAAAACAGACTACCGTAATGCAGTATTTTACCTTCTAGAAATGTCCCCTTAATCAGAGAATATAACTGAAGCATAAGATAAAGGTAGAGATTTTTGTAAGAGGATTAACTCCAAAGAAAGATTTTGCTGAATGGACTACTGACTGCACCTCATTGCAGGTTTCAATCCATGTATGGTAAATTGATGGTTAATACTAAAATTGTGCAGGCAGTGAGGCTTGGGGGTTTCTGGATGTGTGTGAACTGCAGCGCAGTAGTTACAGAATAGTCTGCATCTTCATACCTGTGGTTTCTAAGTCTCTAAAGTATTCACATGAGTGCCAAGTGGATAGATGTAAATAGTAAAGTCTACCTAATCTCTGAGGTTTAGACCAGTTGCCTAGGTTGAAGGGAAGACCATTCTGTTCTGAAACCTAATGTACCATAGTTTAAAAGAGAACATTTTCACCTCAGGTTGGGAGAACTGTCTGTAATGTAACTAACATGCATGTAAAACCTGTCTCATAGCAAAGTATCCTGAACTGACCTCTAAGACTTCTTGTCTTCTAAGTTTAGTTATTAAAGTAATAAACCAAAATTAATGTCTGCTCATTTGCACAGCCTTTAGATGAGCACATTAAATGCCTTGTCTTTGCCAAACTGCAGGTTCAGAGCCCCTGGAACTATGCCCTCTGCCTCTAAATTCTAATTACTGATTTGTCTCCCTGCTCCTAACTGGTTAGCAAGAGCTCCTGCTGATTTCTAAGAGTACAGTTCGTTATAGTTCTTTACTTGTTTTCACCATCATGAATTATTTTTGTGTATAGACAGTGCCGTGTGACTTGGGGGTCTCATTTATTTTTACAGTCCTTTTTCCATAAAGGTACAATATACCTTTAAATATAAATCCCACCGAGATCTCTCTGAGGTGGTACATGTTACTTCAGGGTCACCGAAGTCTACGTCCTACTTCTGAATTTCTTCCTCTGTAATGAGGGCTTAAAGAAATCTTGTGAGCAATCACCTGATAGAGGATTAGCACAGTGAGATAGCAGAGCACGTCACTGCAGCTGTCAGAAGGCTGCCTTGATTATATTGTTCCCTTCATTTAGCTTACTACAATGTCTAGTACTTTAAGACCGTGTTGGTTTTAATTTTTCTGGTCACAAAGGAGTTTGTTAATATTATTTAGGGATTGTTAACATTATTAAAAAGTCCTTAAAGCTGATCGCACCAGTTGCTCAGAAGCTGCACCAATCATTTGGCAAAATTCTAGCGTTTAATCTCTGGTTGTCAAAATGGTGGCAACGATTTGTTTTACACGTACTGCACTGACATGCATGGAACCTGCATACCCCAAGAAGCAGTAGTAGGTACAGTTTGGGAATAGCTGGACCATTTTAGAAGCCTAGGATTTGCTTTTTTAATCAAAACTTACTAAACTCAACCAGTAGTGGCAATAAGGCAGTTGTAGTGAAGTTCATTTTGATAGCCCAGAAGCAAGAACAGAGCTTCCCTTGTCCTCTTTCCCTGCTGCTTCCCGCCCTCCCTACCCCCCTGAAAAAAAGAAAAGTGGAACTCTCTGAATGTATTGCTGCCTCAGCCTTATTTAAATATTTCAGTAAGAGATAGTTGAGGTGTATGTAGGAATGACTGGGGGGGAGGGGAGGCATGTTTTGTTTAACACCAAACTTCTTTGTTTTCATCATCACAGAAACAAATTTAGGAGTGGCCACAGGGGAAGCCTTTACAACATGCCACTGATTCCAAGGTTTCAATTGATCCTGTTGGAGAGGCTGTTTTATTTTCTTTGTTTGTATTGGGAACTGGGTGACAATCTGGGATTGCTCAATGTCTGCAGCAGGCACACGCTCTTCCAAAGTCTCTGCTAATTTCACTGACCGATCTAGAAGGGATTTCCCCCCTCCATGTAAACAGACTGAAGGTGGCACTCTAACATCTTTGGTAGTGACACAAACTGGGCACTTTTATTTCCATAGGTTTCAATGTGCAATAGAAATATTTACTCAGCTATATTAGAATCATAGAATATCAGGGTTGGAAGGGACATCGGGAGGTCATCTAGTCCAACCCCCTGCTTAAAACAGGACAAATCCCCAGACAGATATTTACCCCAGTTCCCTAAATGGCCCCCTCAAGGATTGAACTCACAACCCTGGGTTTAGCAGGCCAATGCTTGTGAAGCAGGGATATGCTAAAAAATATATTGAGACTACAGATGCTAATCTACCTCAAAGATGTTTCACCCTCCTGCCCTAAGTCCCAACAGAGTAGCTTTGGACAGTTCTTGAGTTTTTGTCTTTCGGCAAGAGTTGAAATTTTGTACCTGCAATTTAATATGTTTATTATTTCTACAGCACCATAGGTGTGCACAGAACATTACAAATACTGTTGTAAATCTACTACCTTGGAATTATATATGCTACCAACTTTTCAGTTAAGTCTAATGCTGGTTGGCATTAACGTACAGTGAGTGCATTTAAGCATCATGAATAATTGACTTTATGCCAGTTACTGTATATTCAGACAACTTAGTTCCTTTAAGGATGACCTCATCTCTTGATGTGTTCTTAACTAAAAATAATCTCTGTGTAAAGAGGTGTGAATGGCAATTTTGATGCTACACACTGTACTTGATACCAAGGAGTTAAATCTTGGTTATATAACGTCTTTTGTGGCCTGCAGGAATTTGAGCCAGTGTTTTTAAAAAAAAAAAAAAAAAAAAAAACCATCCTAATTGAGAACAAATCTATAAAACACACTGAATAGATGTGGTACTACATAGTTTCATGTGTAAAGGCTAATTCAGTTACTACGCAATGTGCAGAAAAAAGTCAGCAGTTATACTTAGAAAACCAAATCTATGATTTAAAAGGATTTAGAATATAAGCAGCCCTGCACAAATATATATCAAATGTACCAGATTAATTTTTAATCAAACACAGTGAGTTGATGGATTATGAAGTCCAGTTCATTGCAATATTTTTTTATCTTTAGTCTGTAATTGCTTTCATAAGGTTGTTCAAACCTCCAAGATAGGTCTTTTTCCATTATTTGTTGTTAATTCCCCGGTTTAGAAAAAGTGGTGCTGGAGTTCTGAGCTGTTCATCCATATGCTATGATTCTGTGTGGTAGTTTGATTGGTCTTGTAGCTAAAAATCAGGATTATGTGTTAGGAGACCTGGGTTCCAGTCCCATCATTGGTGTAAACGTCTTATGTGAGTTCACTGTCTGTTTGCTCATCTGAAAAATGGGGATAATGATCCTCTACCTCAGCAATGGGGTTGTGAGATCCAGCGTAATGGTTATAAAGCATTTTGAGATCCTCCGATAGGAGCTGCTGGAGAAGTACAAACTGGAAAAATGGAATTGCTTGATCTCTTTGATGTATAAATAAATCATCTGGTGCCCTGAAGTCATTATGTGAGCACTGAAGGTGACGAGAGTTTTACCTAAGTAAAGGCTTGTTATAGACTTCAGGAGTCAGCACACAATGAAGGAAACGTGGTATGGAGCAGACCGCCTTGTGAGTGCATTCTTGAATTGTTTTAAGGATAAATATTTAATAGTGCAGAAATTACCATAAAACAATGAGAAAATGGTTAGCAGTGCTCCAAATGGACTTGAATTGTAAGCTGTTATAAACCCCCTCCCTCACCCACTACCCAAGGATCCAACTTCTGTGCATCTGGCTAAATCACTGCAGATGTTTGTTTAAGGTAAACTTTTAAGTTAGATCAGTGCCTCTTCAAAAGCATTTTTATCTGGAAAGTATGCTAATTGTGCTAGGAGGCAGATAGTCCAGTGCTCCTTGTGTTTCCCTGGAACAAAGGCATAGTTCACTCACTGTATTGCTTTATAGTCATCAAGGAAGATCAGGTGATGTCTGAATAATAGGGGTGCGGTAAGGGAGTGTCCACTTCTCCTGTTGGCCAGACATTGGCATCCATTCCACACACAAATGACTAATACAAACTTGGTGCAACTCCTTACAGATTGTCTTATCTACCCATTCTCTCAGTCTTGAGAGTTTAGTTGCTGCTTTTGCCTCCAGTTACTCTAGCAGTCTCATTAATACTAGCCCCATTAGTATAGCTATCTTTTGTGTGTCAGTCAACATCTGTCACAAACTGCTGTTTGTAGGCATTTATAACTGGTCTGTACAAATTTGCCTTGTTCTGGAGTTTGAGGTATGTAGAACCAAATTTTCACTTTTCATTTTTACTGTCTTCATTTTGTGCGCACAAACCACTTTGTGCAGCTTCAGTGCACTGACACTTATATGTGCAAATATTTGGTGTGCTCCTTTGCTCTCTTTTTCCATGCACAAATGAACATATGCATATAAGCCTTCAAATACATATTTGATTACTGTGAACGTGTGTGTGTGTGTGTGTGTGTGTGTGTGTGTGTGTGAGAGAGAGAGAGAGATGTACACACAGATGCACATTTTATTTTAAAAAGGGCCTCCTTTTAACCATTTTGCCCACAAAGCTTCTCTAAATAATGCTCATCACTTCAACAGCACTTTTCATCCATAGATGTCAAAGCAGTGTACCAAGAAAAGTACGTTTCATTATCACCTTCTTGACAGAAGGAGAGAATGAGGCATAATTCAAATGAATTGCACACGGTCACAGAGCAGGTCAGTGGAACGACCAGGGATAGAACCAGGACTTTTGACTCCTAGTACAGTCCATCCAGAAGTAAGCCATTCACAAATAGAAGTGATCAAGCCAGCATGCTAAGAATAGTGTACCGACAGCAGTAGGAGGGGCTAACCACCCCAAGGATGTCCCCATCTGAGACATTAATCCTGCCCTTGGGCAGCTAGCCCCCCCTGTTGGTCATGCTGCTAAGGTTCCACTTTCTTATTAGGGCACT